GGTTCCAGAGTATAAGCAATTCCTGACGTGTGGACTATTTTGGTCTAATTCTTCACTCACTGAAACTCCTGAAGCCAGTACAGCAGAGTTATACTGGGGATTACATTCAGATATATTTGAAGAAGAGAACAAAATAAGAAAAGTGTAGACCTTTATGTTAAATATAGGCAAATTCTGTGTGTGTGAATCTGTGTGCATATGCACTCACATATATATACATGTTATAGGCTTACCCAGGTGGTCACAGCCAGAGAGAAAACAGATACTTCAAAGAGTTTTTGAAGAAGTTCATGTATAGACACTGGGGAAAAGTTGTATAGATGGTGCTTCTGTCTGGCAAAGCTCTGAATCAGGAGAGGAATAATGGAAGGAATTCTCCTGATGGGGGTTCTGTGGTTAGCCATATATTATTACATTTAACAAATGAAGCAGGCTGGCAATTACATAGTAAATTTTTGGAAAGAAAGTTCAGGTTATCTTTCTAGCAGCCCATCCTTTGACTAAGAAATGGGAGAGGTTTATAAAAAGGTGAAGAGATAATTATGTGATTCACATTTGCTTGCTATGCTACAGGATAGAAGCCTCCACATCCCTCATCACTAGACGAGGCAGGTCAAGAGAATAGTGTGACCAGAAGTGATAAGAAACCAGGTGACTACAAGTTTCATTTTTATATTTCCTACAATATTTTATACTTCCTTAATTATACAAATGTTCTGACAGACAGCCTGAACTCTGATCTCTCGATGCTAAAAGAATCAAATAAAAAAATCCCAGTTGGAGGCAGGTGATGAGAGCCTTACCAAAACTATACATAAGAACACGCAGTAACCTCAAACCTGAATTAAATTAGATATCTAATCAGCGAATTCTCCCTGAGTCAGATACCTAGGTGTAAGGAAGTTCCTAACAGACAGGGAAATACCGCTGTTACTTCCTCATAATCCCTTCTGGCCCGTTAGGCACCATGACAGGTCATTCTCTTACAACACTAAAGAATAAAATGTTCTGTTAGAAAGGCTTTTCTATTTCTAGTGGAAGATTAATTCCTCTTGTTGGTCAAAAAAAGGACTGACATGATCACTGCCTCCCTTGCAGACTTGGGCCCTGCGTCCCAAAAGAAGTACCGTTAAAAATCATTGCAAAACGACTGACATTGCAAATTCCAAAATAGACCAGTGCTCACACAAACACATTTTTACTACATGCCTTCACAAAGCATGCCTCACTATGCAAGGTGGTAACTTCGAGCCAATTGTATCTCCTCTTGATTTGATACAGGCAGTATAAAAAGAAAAAATAATGCAAATACATAAATAACACATGTTTTCAGGTATTTCTTCCTCCATAAACCAAGATTATGCTCTGCCTTGTCCAAAATGCTTATGCACCAGATATACAGATGGGCTGTACTTCTCTGTACGTATTACTTGGGTGTTGATGAAAACATGTGTGCTTTCAAGTCTGTTACAACACAGCTGTAATAAAGACACATCTAAACTCTTCTTGGTAGGACTCCTGTGTCTTATCAAGATAACTCGTGGCTCTCCTATTTAACCTGTTTTTGAAATTCCCCTCCCATTAGCTGCTCTCATTTGACTTTGTTCAGCTGAGAGCTCTGTCACGTGCAGCCTGCGTGGATCCAGCTGAGGTAACCATACAAGTTCCCCTACTGCCACTGTCCAGATCTGCTGCTCTGCTAGGGGTTATCAGCAAAGCAGCAGGGTCAGCAAGGGGAATGGATGACTGTGTCCCAATTCATATTGCGCTATATCAGCCTTAATTGAGGATTAAGGAGAGTGTAAACTAGGACACTGCAGCACGTATTGGGTTACTGAGTCACCAGCTTTTTCCTCACTGAATGTGGGGACCAGCACTTGAAACAGCCTGGGTGAAAAAAACCCATCCTATCCAGAGGACCGGGAGCTATAGAGACATGCAGCACTCCCCTCCAAAAGCAGGGAGGAGAGAGGACTGTGCTCTTCTGTGGTCCCACATCTTCTTGCAGCTTAATCTGACATGTACAGGTTAGCTATTAACAGGAAGATCAGGAGACAACCTTGCACTTCCAGCCCGTGCATCAAATGACAGAGCAAATTTCACAAGCTTTCCTTTCCTGAAAACTGAAAAAATAGTGCAATTTCAGCTCCAGCTGTGGTTTTTCATCCTATATTTTAAATGACTTATATATCTAAGTAACCACAGTTTGCCACAAACACAGAAAACAGGTGGATAAACTGACTGACACATGACGACTTTGCATAAGCACAGCATTATTCCGAGGCCATGCCCAACAAAATGACTGGAAAACTGCTTGTAGCAAAAGTGGCTATACCACACACATATATGAGTAATTACTAGTTGAACCAGAACTAATTCTACAAAGAGCTATAGCAATTGTTAGCCAAATGAGTCTGCTGTGGCAGATGCTAGAATAATTGCTCAGGGGGATTACAGGCCATATCCAAGCAGTTAATTCATTAGAAGTGTAATCTCCAGAGTGGCAATGGATGAAGAGACAAAATGGTAGCAAAGAGAGCACAATTCTTCAATCAAGCAAGCACAACTGCCTGCCTTCCTCACCTTCTACTCCCCTATTTGTATGAACAATTTATGCTTCAGCTGATGATCAAAACTGTATGCTTGCTTACTAGCTAGCCTGAACAATACTTCTGTATTTCTCAACTAAAGAAGAAAAAAACTCCCAGGTGACTTGTCTGACCAGGAGGAACTAGCCCTTGGCTCTACTCAGATGCAACTGCTTGCAGAGCAAAGGCTCATTTATGCCCACCCAAATCCACAAAATAGAGATTATAGAGGATGTTATTGGCAAATAGGTCACATGCTGGCTGTCTGCAAGGGTGCATATGCCCCTGCAGAAAGGGAAGCCACTTGAAGGAGAAAGAGAATTGGTTAGATGCTGAATTTATTTTGCATTATTCTCCAAGTTTTGAATTCAGGCTGTTAAAATTGGTCCATCCCTGAGCATTGATTACTTGTATATTTGCACCTCTATGACACAGACAAAAAGCAATAAAACAATATCATTTCATGTGGCACAGCTGACTGTAGAGGAAACAATTCTTGACATAAATCAAATAAAAATAAATATTAGACAAATATACACCAGAATGCTGCATTCTGAGAACTCCAAAGTGGCTTTTATGAGTTTATAGTCTTGGATGTGTGCAAAAGAAAACAGTAAAGTTAGCTTTGCAACCTGGTTGCCATCCTTACTTATGCTAACAAAGCGTGCAACTTGTTTACAGCTCAGGATGATAAAGCAGGAGAGAATCTATCACAAAATGTAAAATAGGAAGGCCTTTCTACAGATGTTATGCAAAAGTTCAGCAAAGGTGAGTAAGGAAAACAAGTCTGTAACCATGTTCCAAATCACACTGGGCTTTACAAACCAGGTCCTCCTGAACCACTTCTGGAAGTGACAGCAACCCAACAGATGGTGTTGTAGCAAAGACAATACATGAAAAACTTTTCTATTAAGCAAAGAAATAGGTCACCGTGTAACATACGTGATGAATTTGGTCAGAGGTTCTAAGAAAGTTTTGTAGAGGTCTGAAAAGGGCAATGGCACAGGAGAAAAGTGGGTGATTCTAAATATCAAGTAGACTTTGCAGCCCCTGGGACAAACAAATAGGAAAATCATGGCCTGCCAGGCTAGAAATTACAGCTCTGCAAGGTGTCGCAAGATGAGAGACCTGTGGAGAACTGGGCATCACAGCAGTACTGCAGGCAAGCCGGGGACTGTCATGGGAAGCAATAGCATCGCCTCTGATGTCTCCTCCTGCCTCTGCACCACCAACCATCCTCACCGTTCTTCTCTAGGTAGCTGCTTTCACTAAGCAAACGTAGCAGTTCTGCTAGTCCAAGCTGATCAGAAAGGACTCGTTTTGAATGAAATGTTTTTTGAAGACTATTGTTGATTTATTACCTTATAGGAAAGATACACATTTGAAAAAAACAGTTGATGAATTTTCACAACTATAACTGTTTCTTTTTGAGTTCAGAATTATTCAATTTGTCAGACATAGTTTATTACCCCTCTCACACATATTTTTCTATAAGATGATTAAATATCTGCTTTCAGTTGCAAGAGTCACCACCAGAAAGCTGTAAAGTGAAATCATGACTAGTGCTCTAGCACATATGGATATTACATATACATAAATATATATAGCATATACACTAGCATAATTAGCTGATTGACAGCCAGTGTGATTGCCATGCTTTAAATCCATATTTTTTTTTAATCAACCACTCCTCCCAGATTTGAACAGTAAAGATGCCCAAAGTGATGGCACTACTATACATATAGAGGCAGGCAACTTCTAAATACCCATGCTGTAACCTTTTCTCTAATTACCTACTGAAAGATACCACACTGTGCCATTCAGATAATGTTTAAAATGAATATGCCTCTTCAAAATGGCCACCCCAAAAAAGGAAGACTACTATCCACTATCAACAGAGAAAAAGGACATTCCTGCGTAGTCACTACTACCTGCAAATGAGCCATTTTCTGAAGGCTGTATATCAAATGCCTTTTCTTCTGAGAAGAAAACCAAACAACAAAACTTGCACAAATCAGAACAACTAAAACACAAGGATATTCCAGTTTGGACACCCATCATGTTTCTGATACAAAAGTTATGGAAACTGACATATTTTTATATAAGTTTTTCTAAGTTTGTCACTAGACCTGATTTTTTACCTTGAGCTTTTATCAGTTGTTTAGCTATATACACTTGGTCTGATTTTTAAAGTCGAGCTTTTATTAATTCTTCAACTATATCTGATAGATGTGTATAAAATAAGCACCCTTCTGACAGACACCTCCTCAGGTCATTGCTTGAGGAGCTTTACACAGCAACCTGGGGATGAGCAAATTGACCTGTAACACCTGTTTGAAGTAATGTTTGGAAAATGCCTCACTCTGTCATGCATTTATTTGATGTTTTCCCTACGGACAAGAAGCAACAGACCTTACATTAGGGTCCTGCAGGCTGGAGGTCTTACTGGGATTTACAAATGAGGTCTCGTCTTTCACAGCCTGTTAAAAGAAGGAGCCAAAGTTTAGTACAACATCCATATGCTTAGGATAATACAACTGTTTATTTAAAAGATATTCCTGTAAGCACCCCAGAAAACTGCAATATCCAAAATGCCTTCTCAGCCTAGATTTATAAGGCGCAGTAATTTGTTTTTTCCTATAGTTGAGATCCACTGTGATGATCTACAATGTACAATGTGCAGAGCAATAGTCTTAGGAAGAGATTGGATAAGGATAAAGGAGGAGAAAGAAAGCAACGCTGATATTTATGGTTCCTCCAGAAAGTGTTTGAGCAGAAATAATAAAAATCAACCCAGGCAAACATACCATAGTAGAGTTGTTCTTTTAATTGGAGTAGAATAAATATTAATGTAGTCTAATCAAAATAATTATGCTAACTTTTCATTCAGTCTTTGAAAAATTAATTGAAAAATGGGATCCCCTACATACAATCACACTGTACATGCAATTCATAGAAAATCTCACCCACTACTGCTCTTTGCTAAAGTAGAGCCCTGTTTCTCACATACCATTTGTCTATAGAGTTGAAAATAGTATTATTGCAAATGGCTTACATGAAAATTGCTTGATTACCCAGGAAATGCCCAATTCTGGCAGGTGTTGGTAGATTATATTCTTCAACCGAGGTACAGGGTTCCCTAATCCATGTGAAAGTGCCAGTGTCAGCTCAACACTGCAACCCTCTACAGAAAATACTGGCTGAAGACACAAGAATTCTCCAAATCAGTAATAGACTTGGCAGGTTGTGACATTTCCATTCTGCTAAATGGATAGAAGGGAATTGATATGGTCCTATGACAAAGCGATTTTTCAGCATTCAATATCTGAACCACAATAATTTGAGGCCATCAATCCAGATCAAACTGAATTAAATGTGTCAGCCTCATCCTCTTCAAAAAGGATGAGGCAGGTTCCTTCAAATCCATCAAATCCAAATCAAAGGATTTTACAGACATGTAAAAATATTTTAAATTTGACGCGAGACCTTCCATTCAATACAAATTGAGATATTCAATTTGAGACTACTCATAAGAAAAAGAAACAAAATCAAAGCTGAGTTTCTTCTACACCTTAGCAGTGAAATACAAAATATCAGCTTAGTGCTTGGGGAAATTGTCCAACCTGTGACAGTTTTAGGTTCGTTTCCCTCTTGTGCCAGATGGAACAAAACCCTCATTGCCACTTCCCAGGTAATTATTTACCAGAGCATCAGCCATGTCAGGAACAGACTATTCCAGCTTATACACACAATTAAGTGTATGGGCAATTAAACTGGAACCACTGGGAGCCTGGCAGAGAGTGAACTCTGTCCTGGGCCTCCTCCGGCACAGGCAAGTACCTGAGGTGATGGGTTTGGGAGCATTTTGAGATAAGTGCCTCCATGACCCTTCCTGTTGGAGTTGTGGCACCTTGTATATTGATACCAAAACAACCATCAGCTGAGAGCAGACCCTCTGACCCTCAGCAGCGGCTTTGTTCCTCTCCTAGGGAACAAGTTTACTGAGAGGTGAACAGGATCAGCAGTAGATACTGGAGAAGCTCCACCCCAACATAGTGCTTTTATGTATTTGGGTTTCATCTCCCTCAGCCAGACGTTTCCTCAGTCCTAGACAAATGCTCTGAACATTGAGTCAGATAAAAGTGGGACATATTCACACCATCACCACCACTGTAAGTCAGCCGCCAAATGTTTTGCAGCTAAGGTTTTCAGTGAATTAGCATCACACCGTGAATAATTTCAGGACCAGGAGTGCAATTTCAAAATTTTAATAAATTCATTGCTTTAAGAAATTTAGCTCAGCTCTAGAAAACTTTCTTGTTTTTTACTGGTCTTCTAGTAGCTCTGTCAAGCATAATGTTTATTCAAAATCCAGCGCTTTCCTGAAAGGAAAGAAAATGGTCTTTAAGGAATTGAGAGAAAGCATTGAAAATCATTCTTTGTTGGCATAGATGAGCACTGAAGTAATATCTCTTTGTTCTACAGAAATTATAATGCTTTTTATAAAGCTGTTGGGTTTCTGAAAGCTGTAAACAGGAATACAGCTGTCAGAAACTTAATACACAGTCTCTTCTTCCATGCTGGTATCTTAACAACCTTTTATTGGTAAGCCTGACAAGCTAGCTGCTCATTATGCGTCAAATTGGCTACTTTTTAAAACCATAAATTTTACTTTATTCCAATTTTCACCAAATTAATTGAGCTGCATTTTAAGATGCACTTGAACACAACAATAGAAAGTAGAATACAGAGATCAAGGATGCAATGCAGGGGCTGTGACCAGGAATGAAATTATTAAAATTCCACCTACTTAAACATTATAAGCCATGGACCTCATTATTCAGTTGAGAGGGATTCACTGTATTAGTCCCTCATAGTTGACCCTTAGTTTCTTCTCTGTGACTATATTACCACTCTCTTTTGCCTTCTCTGCACTGGAAGACTAAGCCTGCATCTCAAGAAGTGGTGTATTCTTAAATGGCATGATCAGCATCCTGAGGAACTTCTCTTGGTATAAATTTTCTCCAGTATTACTCATGCTTTAGAAAACAGAAGAGAGTGACATACCCCCAAGTAAGTACTGCAGACCTGTGAGCAAATAATCCCACTCTAAACTGAAGGGAGAGAGGCAGCATGTAAGGAAATGGAGAGACCTGAACAACCTCAGCTGATGAGGCATTGCACGCTGGGTGCCACAGGTGTGCACTGGCAGGCACATATTAATAAGGATGGGCTAATTGTACTCATCCTATGCCTCTCCTCCATGTCTACGGATGAACAGACATAGGAAAATGTTATACCTGCAAACATTTCTGAGAAGGGCTTCAGCCATCAGGAACTGTACTGCTGTTGCTTTACTTGTTGGCTTTTGATTTGTTTGTTTGTTTATTTTCAGGAGGAGGTCAGTAAGTCATGAGGTGACAGCATGTTTCTTTTATTTACCCTGCTAACGCTGCAAATCACACTCACTAACCACACAAGGACTTCCTCAGCCTTACTGAAAAGGTAGGAATGTAAACCAAGGGTTAAATTTGTAATTCCCAGCTGGTTTTCCTTCATTTGAAAACAAGGGCATGTGCTAGGGCCAGGACTTGGGTTTCCACTGCAGGATGCCCTCCATCAGCAGAACAAGGGAGTTCAGCCAAGGCTAGCAGGAGGTACCTGGTGGGGAACGTATACGGAGGGCTGGGAAGGGGCTCTGTCATCCACAGAAAGCCAACCACCCATCTGGGCAAGAAGGACAGGCAGAAGCATGGAGCTGCTCAGATGTCCCTAGCTGAGGCAGATTCGCTCCTTACCCGGAGGCTGTTGCTCTGAGAGGGAGAGGTTTCAGGGCATGGAAGACCTGAAAACTTCATTTGTACAGAAAAAAGATTCATTTAACAATCACCCAAAGAGAAACAAGCTGGCTCCTCTGGCCACCAGACTGCAAACCAAACAAAATTAAAGGCCGATCCATATAATCCATCCACAAAATGCCATTCTCTTTTCTTATCTGCACTGGGCCCAGAGCAAAAGAAAAATTATTAATGTTCCAATTTCGTATGTCATTAACTTTCTAGATGGTGTTCGAAACAAAGGTAAAACACTGCTTTATCATACTAGAGACAATAAACATGCCTGGACAGAAATGACATTGTACAGGCTCTCTTCATAGATGATTGCTAAGCAATACTAGTTTCATCAAAAGATGAAAAGAGGAGAAAAGCAAAAAAGTTCTACCAAATTTTGCCCACAGCTGCCTAAGCAAGCTACCTATGGGATTCCAGGCTGATCCTGACAGTTTTCAGACTGCTTTTCAGTCAATTTTCAGTCAACGTCTGAACACCCATAACCCCTGCTGCTGTGCTGGCAGCCAGATCCTTTGGAGCCTTAGAGAGGGGCTGGATGCTCCAGGGACACTACATCAGACCCTGCTGAGCTTTCCAGCAGGGGTGGGAACACTTTCTGGCCCGTGGGAGCTACTCCACACATCAATTTGTAAGTCCTAATGGCTGTGGTTCTCACCCCAGCTGATCCACAATAGGAATATCCTGAATAAGCAAAAATGATTGCATGAGGAATCTGATCACTGCAGCCAAGGGGAGGTGTCAGGTTCTTATCTGAGAAAGACAAGGGTCTGGAAGGCTCATATGAAACATGATGTCTCTTATTTAGCAATTTCACAAAGTTCCTAGTTGCAGAATGGAAAAGGGAGCAACACAGCTTTCACATGTTTGAAGATCTTCAAAGGTAAGGAAGCAATGGCTCTCACTGCAGTGGCTGGGAAATACTCTATCTTTGATCTTTCTGGCTCTGTAACAATACTAAGGAGGCCTGAAGCATACCAGATTTTTCAGCTATTCATCAACATTTTTGTCATTTGTCAGCCACGCCAATTGTCGTCTGATCTCATTAGATAATACAGGCTAAGCAGCGCATCATCAGGAAGAATACCCTGCCAAGGTAAACCTACCTTGGTGATTTAATATGTCAAATGTATCCTTTCAGGCAGAAAAGCATGATGGTTAGGTCTCTTGGGAACAGTCTACTCTGTTTTCCTCCCTCTGAACAGGGCCTGGCACCATGTGTCTCCTGGGCTATGGTGGGGCTCCTACACATCACTGCAATTAACAGTACTTGTCTCATCATGTACTAGCACTTACAGACATGCCAGCTCAGAGACATAGCTGACATCCACAATGCATTGTCACAGTCTTGTGACACCACTGCCACATTTGCCTACGTTATCCCAGGGAATAAATTAAAGATTTCCCTTTTCCCACATTCTGTTTATCTAAATCCTCCCTCCCCTTCTGTACCTCAGCAAGGCTGCCGCATCATTTCCTCAGCAACTCCCCTGACTTTGAGGTATCATTGCTGACACACTTCTAATGAGCTGCCATGTATCATATATTGATCATCCTGGCCCACACACATTCAAAATCCTGTATTTTTATACCTCTGACACCCTTCATTTCCTGTAGCCTCACTTTTAAAG